CTTCCCTTGTTGTTCTTGCAAGTGAGGTTACCTCCAAATTGGGACTGTGGTTTTGCAGGTTATATACTGGCTGAGTTGCCGTCAAGGGCCCCTCCTGCCCAAACTCATCACCACTCCCAAATTTGGGCTCGGATATTATGTCATGGAAAATTTCTTTGGCGGGAAGGTTTTACCCACCAACTGGAATTTTCCCCGCGGCGAACTTCTAGTGCCGTCACGTCCTGAGACTGTCCCTACCACCATGATGACCCTTTAGTGCCCTGTTGTATAAGATCCCTGGGCTTCAAGTTCTCGGATTTCTATAACTTTTATCATTTAACAAGTCTAATTTGGTTTTGATTCTATCCCAAACTGGCTAATGGGCATTCATTACATCTAACTCAGAAACTTTATAAATTTATTATTCAGGTGACCAGTTGTTTTTCCCAGTCGTCCTGTGGGTCATTTACTACCGTCTCCAAGCTCTGCACTGTCTGGGAGCTCCTCCAGGTGCAGTGATCTTGACACCTTTTTGGGTTCATAGCCCTGGACGTGCCTGCGTGCTGTTTGTAGGAGAAGCATAGCTGGTATTTTCCCCATGACTCCCTGTCATTCCTGTGTCTGCAGGCGAGACCTGAGCTCACATTATGGTGCTGTTTTAAAAAGCCACGAAGAGCCAGCTGGAGCTTGGAGACTCTCTGCTTCACTGGGCCGTACCCATTTGTGCTGTTGGGGGTCCTGGCTGTGCCTGACTGGACCCCGCTCCAGCCATCTAGCACACCACTACTGCTACCTAATTCAATGCATTTATTAGCATAACTCCTGGGAGCCTCAGCTGCAAAGCCCTCGGCGCCGGACACGGTCTGAACCACAAACAGGGAGATAATCCCTGCCTCAAATGATGCATGCTTAGTGCCAAGGAAACGAATCGTCCTGGGATGCCACATCCCAGCTGACCTCAGTGAAGTAACATGGGCCCAGGGGCTTTGCTGTCCACGGAGGGAGCATGGTTGTTTCCTCCTCTACCCATTCGGCCCAAATCAATTTGCACCCGTGGTTTTTGCTACGCAGGGTGAGGCCATGATAGCTGCAGCACTTCATCCAGTTGCATTTTCCTCCTTGCCTCATCTTCTCCTCTGAAAAGCAGGCCAAGTGGCCATCAGGCAGCCATAACGACTGCAGGCAGGAAGATAGGCTCCAAATGAAAATGAGATCTCCTTGTTCCCATTAGATGCAATGAGTGCGCGCGTGCACGGCTCTGCCAGCTCCCAAGCGGTAGCGTGGTGCATGAACCGCCTTTGGGGTGCAGGGAGAGGGCATCTGCCGAGATTTTGGGAGGTGTCTGCATTAGGAAATGAGTCCCCATTTGTTTGATTTGCATTTGCTTGCTTTTAAGTGGTCTGATTAAAAATATTAATAATATATTCATATTTATTTTGCTGGTGTAAAACAGTCACTCCAGTGACAGCAGGGATTTCTAGGCCGTGGCCCTGAGAGAAGACAAGCCGTGTTAACTCATCACCGAAAGCAGCAGCCAACTCATCCCTTTAGTTCACCGTATCCATGTGGTTTTTGTGCTATAATCTAGCATTATTTCATGTAAAGTTTTCCATTTTATTTCACAGGGGTGGGGTGGGGGGAAGCAGCTCACTTTGGGATGGACACCCACCTCCGCCCATATCATTTCTTTCATGGCTGTTCCCACATTGCCCTGTGTGATCTCACATCTCATTTTTGTTCTGCAAAGTGTCAGTGTTTGATATGGCTATTCAATAAACCATTTTTACTTTTGCATTTCTGTTCGTTCGCAATTTTGCACCTCTTTGTGCTGGCCCTGTGCCTCCCTCAGAGGATCCTGTCCCAATATCAGCGCGCCTGGGCAGAATAACCAGAGTGGGTAGAAATCATCCCAGGCCCAACCCCAGGCACCGCACGTCAGTCTTGTGTAAGTCGTTAGAATACATAGTCCAGACACCTCCTCGGGAGTAGAAATGCAGGGGAAGACGATCCCGGCCTCAGAGAGACTTCAGCCTGAAAAGGCAGGAACAAAGCAAAAGGAAGCATTATTATTCCATTATAAATGATGGTTTAGGCCCCAGGAGACTAAGTGAATTGCTCAGAGTCATGCAGGGGGAGGTCTTTGTCCAAACTGGAAAGGGCGCAATCAGTGTGGACCACAATCAAGCTAATTATGCGATGCCTCCCCTAATCCCATCATAACAAGCTAATGCAAAGGGGCGGCTTTTCAATGTCATTCTTCGGTTATAACTGGGGTGCTGTGCAGCAGACACGGGTATCTGAGTAGGTACCAAAATCTGCAAGGGACCAAGAGCAGGCGTATTACCAGTATACTTTCCTTCCTGCAGTCCCCTTGGTGCAGCAAAGGTCAATCCTTTACTGGACAAAAGTCAGAAAAGCAATGCCAGTGAAGCAAGAATGGAGCAGAGAAGGAGTGAGAACTGAACATCTCCCCCAGCCTCCTAAGTAGGGATAAAAAATGGAAACCAGCATTTTTGCTAACCAGACTAAAGGTTTGCAAAAACCAAATAGTAAGATTGGGGCCATCGAGGCATTTTCCATTCTTTTGAAATCCAAGTGAAAGCATTTCCATCTTTTTTTTTTATTATTAGTTCTAAGTTTTATTGCAAATTAATTTACATTTCAAAAAGGAAAAACAATTTTGCTTTGGAAAAAAAAGAACTGCTTTAAAAAAAAATGCTGAAACCTGCCTAGTTTCCGGTCAGAGCTTCAATCAGTTTATGAAAGGGGTGATGTGATGTTGTCCTTGATAAGAGGCGATGGGGCTTGCTGATACAGTCCAGCTTCCTGTGAAATGGGATAGATAGACAATTGCAAAAGGGTTTTTTGTTCCCCCCATTTTTTCAAATGGGAAATTTGTCTAGACTGATCTTTTCCTAGGAACAGTTTGTTTCAATGGACCAGTTTTCCTACAAAAAAAATCCCCAAAACAACCATTTAGTAAAAAAACGAAACAAAACTCCCAACCAGCTCTTTAAATTATAATATAAATATGGACGTGCAAACCTGCTGAAATGACTATTCGTGTAAAATCTGTTCTTCAAATCCTGAGTTCTTGGCTTAATATTTGAAATGCAAAAATCTAGACTCCCCATTCAGAGATGATACCTTTTATTAGACCAACTGAGCAACTGCAAAAAAATAAAAAATAGTAATAATTATAAGAGGTATTTCTGAGCCAAGAATTCTAGATTTTTGCATTTCTTTTTGTCTCAGACCAACACAGCTTCCAAGATACACGTGTCTGCACATCTTCATGGTGGCAATTGGGATAAGGCTTTAAATTCTGCAATGATTCCAGGGAAACTTTGTTCTTAACTTGAATGAGGTTTTGCTCTGAATTCTTGATGCCATACATCCCTTGCTTAATATTTTGCATTCATGAGATGATGATAATAAATATGCATTGGCAATTCCAGAGCTTAACCATGCATTGCTGGAGGAAATATTTCTTTTGACTGATTTTTACACCTGCTGCCATTCAGTGTCAGTGAATGCTCCTCAGTTTGTGTGATGAGACGTCGTCAGTAGAAATCCCCCATACCAATAAAAGGGCAGGTGAGACACAAGGTGCTACCTACGTCTTGCGTATTATTATTGTCACCATCATCTAAAACCAAGTTCTCTGCTGCCGGAGAAAAGAAGAGGCCTCCACAGCTGGACACGAGCATCTTCTCAAAGGCAAGCACTTAAGCTGCGATACAAGCTCAGACCGGCATCAGCGCTGCCTGATGCTCTTTGGTGCGTGTCCTTTCCCAGCATCTGATCAAATGAAGCTCGTGGAAGCTTATGCATTTCTGATTTCGTTCTTCTATACGGTGCCCGTCTACCCTGCCTCGTCTTAGGAGAGTAACCACAGCAGAGTGCGTTTCAGGGCTCAGACTCTCCCGAAATACAGCACTGTCGTGTCAGGCAGACCCCTGGATTTCCATCCAGCCTACCTCCGTGCACCGCAGCACCCCCGGTGCCACCTTGCAGGGCCCACGCCTATAACAGCAAGCCAGATGCAAATCCCAAAACGTTGCAAAAGCTGTGTTACAGAGCAGCAAGTTGCAGTCGTACTGCCTTCTCCCTCGATGCGGCTGCCCCAAGGCCTTAGGGGCCTGAAGGGGAGGGGAGGAAGAAACCGCTGGGGTTGCCCCAGTGTGCAAAGTCCTTTATGGGATCCCCCTGCAAAAAGGGGTTTTCTTCTCCCTGAGCTGATTAAAACATGACCTCCAGCAATCCCTGCCTTGGTCGGACGTCGCTGGTGGCATGCTGTCCTCAGCTCCCTCGTGCCAGGGGCCATCACTCACATGAAGTGGACAGCCTTTCTGTGTTCATTAGGCTTTCCTGGTAATTGTGTTAATGAGGGTGAATTAATTTGTTAAGTGGTGTAGCCCTGTTAATTCCCATCCCATACATTGCACAGCCATTAATTACAAATCTTTGGCAACCCCCTAATATGCTTGGCGTCTCTTGTCTTTGCTAAGTTAGACAGAGGGCCTTCTGTATTGCACAGGGGAATTAAAAAAACCCCCCTCATTCATCATCTTCCCATGCAAAGACCTCATGCAATATGAATGAACCCTAAGAAGCCCACCTGTAGGGTACTAGTGTCATAAAGCCCATTTTACAGAAGGAAGGATTGAGGCACCCAGGAGCTAAGGGGCAACTTTTTCACTTCATTTCGGGTGCTAACTTTCTGCTTGTTCAACACGGGAGAAGATGCAGGGGATTTTCCGAGGGGCTAGCCTCGAGGAGTTGCAAACCTCTGGAAAACAGGCCGTGGGGGTTGAGTCCCCGATTGCTTTGTGCTGCTCTCTCAATACAAAAGGCGATGTCAGTGCTAATTGAACAAGCCAACCACGCTTCCCTTATTGCGGCGAAAGTTTTCTGGGCTTCTCTAATGCACTTCTCTCTTCTCCAGGGGCAAAAGGCCGTGCCTGCCTGGGTGTGGGGATACGGCTTCACGCGACTCTCTTCTCTCCCTGCCCCTCCAGATACCATCGACGCCGTCTTCGACTTCATCCAGCGAAGCCGGAGGATGATCGTGGTGCTGAGCCCCGACTACTTGACGGAGAAGAGCATCAGCCTGCTGGAGTTCAAGCTGGGCCTCCTGTGCCAGAACGCCATCTCCACCAAGCTCATCGTGGTGGAGTACCGCCCGCTGCAATGCACCCACCCCAGCATCCTGCAGCTGAAGGAGTCCGTCTCCTTCGTCCCCTGGAAGGGGGACAAATCCAAGCGGTCCGGCTCCAAGTTTTGGAAAGCCTTGCGCCTCGCCCTGCCCCTCCGCAGCCTGAGCGACGGCACGGGCTGGAACGAGAGCTGCTCCTCACAGTCGGACATCAGCCTGGATCACCTCCAGCGGCGCAGGAACCGCTCGAAAGAGCCCTGGGAAGCCGCCGCTGCGCCGCCGGGTGCCACCTGGGCTCCCCGCTCGAAGGCCACGCAGCAGACCAAGCCCTTCCTGGCCTGCCGGTGCTGCGTGACCTACTGCGACGAGGACGGTAAACTCAGCAAGAGCCGCCCGGCGGCTGACTCCAAATGGGAGACTCGCCTCTGCAGACCAGGCAGGCCTGAGGCACGGAGGGTGCAGAACGGGAGCAGACCGGAGCCCCCCGTGGCCCCGATCCCGGCACTGGCGCTCCACCAGTACACCGACTTATCCAACAGCGGCGACTTCTACGTCCTCTAGCCCCTTTCCAGACTGGCTCGGCCTCCTCCAACATCTCGTTGTTTGCTCTGGAAAGGCAGGAAGGCTGCAACGATTTAGCTCAGCGCCCTGCAAGCAAACCCACTGGGGACCTGCACAGCTCGGGTGGGCAGCGGGGGCCGGCAGCTTTCCCTCTCCCCACTGACAGCTGCTAAATGGAAATAAAAGAAACTAAATGGACTTCCTCTGCTGCTGCTCGCCCATCTCAGCAGGGGCTGTGATGGCCACGGGGCTGCTTCTGGGATTGCTAACGGGAAAGCAGAGGCAGGATAAATGATCTCTGTGGCAAGTCGTGGCAGCGTTGGAGGGGCCCTGCCTTGCAGCCTTCCCTATTGATCTGGGGACCAGACCTCTCCCCTAGCATTGCAGGATGGAGCTGTACAGCGCTGGGTCCAATCTGGTTATAAAGGGACATGGTCATACCCTGACAATCTCCAAAAAGCCTTTAATTTGTTGCTGTTCCAAGCTGCAGCGAAGGGAACCGGGATGAAAGACGGAGGGGGCACGCTGTGCTCCCAACAGCATTTGGCCTGTGCCGATAGTGTTTGAGAGGGGTTTTGGAGGTGTCAAGGGGATCAAGGTGCCGTCCTGTCACTGGAGTCCCTGGAGGGCTGTGGGGACAGGTCTGTGCCATGGTTTCTCCTGCAGAATTAGCTTTCTTTTGGGTCGCTGCGGCCTTTCACGCTGCACCAGGGAATGCATTACACATGGAGGGGAATGGGATGAAAAACCCAAGGAACAAGCCAGGGGGGTAGGGAGGCACCGATTAGAAAAGACTGTGTTTGAAACCCAATGGATGTCACGCTGGCCGTGTTTCATGCCATGACACAATCGATGGGCCATGGGGGCAGATGTTCTCCCAGATGTTTCTGGTTCAGGTGCTCAGCTGTAGCTTGTGAGATATAACCCCCTCCTCTTGGGACATTAGTCACTCATGAGGGGTGGTCTTCAACCCTCCCCTTACTCCCACAACCACCATTTGGCCAAACCAGGCTATACCATCCGGTTTTCTCCGCCTTTCCCAGTAATATACCCTGGGCAGCCTTTTCTATCATCTGCACCCGAAGACAGGTCCTACATTTTCTCTGGTGTTGGAGGCATGAATTGCCCCTGGGGATCTTATCCTCTTTTGCCCCTGTTTTGCCTTCGAGGATTGAAAGGCCATAGCCAATATTCAGTCACAACTGACCCAAGGAGCTGAGACAAACGACTATATTTTTCCCCAAAATTGTTTCCAGAAAGCCTGATGTAGAAAGAAAAGATTTTTTTCCGGAGTCATGGCAGATTGCTCCCCAGCTGCTCCAGGTAAAAGGCGACAGTTTTAGCCCTTTAACAGCTGCTGCCCAATTGACAGCAGCTTTTGGATGCTCAGCTGAAAGCTACTGCCTGTTCGGCAGGAACGGCGAGCGAGTTAAAACTGGACTTCACCCCTACTGCTTGCTGGCTTGGAGAGAAGCAACAGCCATTACAGCACAGTGTCTCCATGCTTTCCTTTCAGCAGAGGAAATTCGCTTTCCCTCCTTGAAACGTGCAACTCGGTTTTGGAGGGCTGATTTTTGGGGAAACAATCCATGTTGTATGCAACTAAATAGGGCATAAGGGAAAATGGAGTGGGGTAAAAAAAATATCCTGCAACATGGAGTTATTCCAAATAAAACGCAGGTATGAAATCAGCCGCCAGCCTATGACAAACTAGAAAAGTGGGTGCTAGCCTTTCCTGTTAATCCACCTGGGGCAGGATTGTGCCTCAAATGACCTTCCCCAGCACCTCAGACAGGCGCATTTTAAGTAACTAGGGCCTCGTGTGTCACACCACAGCGACCCCCAAGTAATTCAGTAGGAAGAGGAGAGGAAAAAAGTGTTTTTTGTGGGTTGTTTTAACACAAAATCTACTAAACTCCAGGGTGTTTTCCAAGAAAGAAAGAAAACAGAATAGACACGGTCAAAGTAAAGGTGCCCATCACCTATGATCTGACCTGTCACATCTCTGTGAGCAGGTCTGACAGATTGGAAAACAAGCCCAAAATAAAAAAAAAAATCCCACTGCTTTGTAATCAATCATCCTCTGGTACTGCCGCGGCTGTTTTATGTGGGCACTTGTCAGCTTTTGCTCAGGAGCCCTGTCCTTGTTATGACCACGTCAGAAAGCAGTGAATTATGGTCAGGACAGAGAGGCAGGGAGAATTGGTTGGAGACGGTGGTAAAATGATGAAACAGCAAACATTTTGAAGCAATCCCATCAGAAAGGAGGTAAAATACCATTGGCTAAAGACGCCACGGGGGTACGGAGATCACTACTGAGCTGGGTTGGCTTATAGCAGTGGTGTAAGTAGATATTTATCTGCTGAAGAGAGAAAAGCAAAGCACTTATATACTGACTGGGATGCTTTGCTACAGCCTCGAGTCTTACACCAGCTAGGAGGAGAAGAGAAGTTTTCGAACAGTTGTCTGCTAAAGCCAAAGCTTTGAGGCATCTTGAGCTGATGGGATTTAGAGACGTTGCTCCCTCCAGCGTATCTCAGCTCTGTGCAAGGATCCGGTGGCTGAGCTGTCGCATGAATGTAGGTTCACTGCTTGCCTTTGGTTTGGGGTATAAACCATCCCTGAACTGAGTCTGCACCAGGCTGGCCAGCTGCTTGCGGTGTGGGTCTTTTGCACAGAGCTGGGTTATTCCCTGCAAGAGGGGCAGTAACCTCTGGGTAGAGATGCACCCAGGCCTGCTGCTTGATGATGGCAAAGTTTGGAGGGGGACACCTGGCTCTCCACCCTTTGCCGATGCATTTGGGTTAATGCTGAAGCCTTCAGCTCGGTACTGTGTTCCCCCCACCACCTGGGGCTTTGTCTCAGTGGGTAGGATAGCTAGCACACATCTCTGCCAGCCCTCTCTCAGAAAACTAGGAAATGCCAGCCAAGGAGGGCAAGTGCAAGGCTTGGAAGCAGGATAGCATTTGCAGGATCTCCTGCTGCAATGGTCCATGCATAGTCTGCGGAGTTTCCCTCCACGAAGGCTAGACTGGAAAGGGTTTGCTATGTTGGAACAGATGCATTGGGTGCGTGTGCTTCAGAGGCAAACTTAGGGCATGTGTCCACTGTCTCTCCTGTGCCCAGTGGCAATGCACTCAGAAGCAAGCTCTGTTCGCTCACTTGCACCGTGCATCCCAGAAACAAACCCATGGGCCAGGCTTCATACAGCCCTGAGTGTGTACCTACAAGCACGCCTGAGACAGACAGCCTGGGAGTGATGCTGACTGAGCGCCCCACTGCTCCATGGGTCCACATTGCCCAATTTTGGCAAGGTGGCAGGCGCAGGGGGAACATGTAGGTACAGCCTGTTGCCTGGTGTCCTTCTCAGTTGTTGCCCCAGGCATGCAGTGCTGCTAACACAATGCCAATAGCACGGGCTGGGCAAGCTTGCCCCAGAGTCTGGTGACACAATAATGCACATGGTTTCCAAATGAAGCACGACTCTGGGAAGGGCTGCATGCAGGGAGGGGAGCCCCTTCTATCTACCTTTCCAATGCATTCCCCCCCGGACACGCACTGACTGTGGGAGAGCTATGAAGCTCCATGCACCCATCACACAGGCACTGGGTCACCATAGCTCAACTGATAGGAGCAATGCCTGTAGAGCAACAGCTGTGATTCCTCCCCTCTATTCAGCACTGGGGAGGCCACATCTGGAGTCCTGTGTCCAGTTTTGGGCCCCCCACTACAGAAAGGATGTGGACAAGTTGCAGAGAGTCCAGTGGAGGGCAATGAAAATCATTCAGGGGCTAGGGGACATGATATATGAGGAGAGGCTGAGGGAACTCTGCTGATTTAGTCTGGAGAAGAGAAGACCGAGGGGGATTGAATAGCCGCCTTCACCTCCCTGCAGGGGGGCTGCAAAGAGGATGGAGCTGGGTTGGTCTTAGTGGGGGCAGATGACAGAAGTGGCAATGGGCTCAAGCTGCAGCAAGGGAAGTTGAGGCTGGATATTAGGGAAAACTGTCTCACCCTGAAGGTGCTAAAACACTGGAACAGGTCACCCAGAGAGGTGGGGGAGTCTCCATCCTTGGAGGTTTTGAAGACCCGGGTAGACAAAGCCTTGGCTGGGATGATGGAGTTGGGGCTGGTCCTGCTTGGAGCAGGGGTTGCACTAGATGTGACCCCCTGGGTCCCTGCCAGCCCTCATTGTCTGCGATTCAAAGAAGAGACATTGCACCTGGAGAGGGATTCAGAGGCCAGCTGCGTGCTGTCACACAGGCCATTGTCCCCCAAACTCCTCTGGCACAGGCTCGGGGGTACCATCAGCACCTGCACTTTTCTCCGGCAGTGCCAAATTTAACCAGTGTATTGCAGCTCTTGCAGCAATTCTTGATTGATTCAATTTTTACAAGGCCCCAGCTCCCAGAGTCCCATGATCTCACTGTGATCAGGTTTGAAACATGGTGCCTGCAAACACAGGAGGCAAATGAGTAAGCCTTAAGTGTATTGTTTCTTGGAATGACATGAATTTTCAGCTGTTCTCATGGTTTTGGGGCCAGGACCAACTCAGTGGGGACTACTGCAGTCTCCCAGGCCTAGAAGGAAGGGCCTCCTCTTTGCACCAGTTTGCACCCCTCTTTTTAAATAAATGAATAAATAAAGCAAACCCTCCGAGACGATGGTGTGACATCTCTTTTGTGGTAGGCTCCAGCTCCTGCATCCCTGCGCTGTATTTTTGGCCATTTCATTTAGTTTTAAAATGGCAACAAACTCTCTTCTCCTTTCGGTTGGCTTGGGAGCCCCCTGAGAATCCATATTCGCTTTTTTAGCCATATCAGGACTAGTTACATCCCTGAGAAAAGAAGAGATGTGATGGAGGGGGAGTAAAATCTGGAGGGCTGTGGAGGAAAAGGTGCTGTCCTGTGCTCAAGTGCTTTCCTGTGCCAGACTCTGTTTAGCTGTGTATCAAAGGAGAGGCTAAGGGGGAACCTCCTTACCTGCTGCCAACACCTACCGGGGATGGAGATTTGCTAAAAGATCAATCTTCAAGCTAGCAGCCGTGATAGCAGTGGCTGGAAGGTGAAGGCAGGTAAATTCAGGCTGTGCTTTTAAATCTGAGGGCATCACTCACCAGAGCAGCTCTCCAAAGGCTGCACAGATTCACCAGCAGCAGAAATTCTTCAATCCAGGTGGGATGGGTTTGTTTTTTTTCTAGCAGATCTGCTGTATTGGCCTTGGAGCAAGAATCAGTTCCCCTGTGAACCTAGAGAAGTCGCATTACTCTGCAAGAGGCTTCTGGAAGACAAGAAAATCATCCCCCCTTTCTCTCCCTTTTTGCCTTGTCTATTTAGATGATAAATATTCAGGCAGGACTGCCTCTTCCCAGGTGTTTGTATGGCCACTCCATTGCAGCCTGGCCCGTGCGGGGACACCTAAGTACTACTGTCATGCACAAAAGGAGGTTAGGAAGTCATACGAGTATCTGCCGATGGGGCGATTGAATGCACTCGTTTCTGGAAATGGCCTATATAGACCGTAAGTGATGCCATGCTCCTAGCACAGCAGTATTTTGGGGTGAAGCCTTTGAGAGTGCTCCCCTCCTTCCTGAGCTCTGGAGAGGAGCATCCCAGCACGCACCACCCGAAGGGATAGCAATGCACGCGCCTGCACATCTTCATGGTGGCAATTGGGATAAGGCTTTAAATTCTGCAATGAGCCCAGGGAAACTTTATTCCTAACTTGAATGAGGTTTTGCTCAGATTTCTTGGACCCAGGTGCTGATCCTTGGAGCGTGTTTTTATAGAGGCCATTTACTTGGCAGAGTGAGGTACGGACAGATGGCAACACTGGGGAAATATGTTCGACTCCGTCCTGACCTCTCCTTCCCACTCCCATCATATAGTTTATAAGCATATTGCTGCCCAGTCCTAGGTGTCGTCAGATGAGGTTGTGTGTGTGTTTGTTCAGCACCTACCACACCAGGGCAGGGTGTGCAAGCGCTATTGAACTGCAAGTGGAAGATTGCAAAACACGCTGTGTCTTTAGAGATCCTCACCAGGAAAAGGGGCATCAAATACACCCCACAGACTTTTCTGTTTAGATTCAGAGAGTTCAAAGCCAAGAGGGAGCATGGCATTAACTATTCTGACCTATTGCCCTTCTCAGGCAAGACTAGATTTCATCTAATCCATGTCTGGATTGAACTGAAGGCATCCAGCCTTGGTCTGGAGGCATCCGGAGATGGGAGACCCTCTGCTTCCTTGCAGTTTGGTCCCAAAGTTTTTGCTAACCAAAATAAAAAAGATTTGCAAAAACCAAAATGGTGAGACCAGGGCCATCGAGACATTTGTCCAGTTCTTGAAATCAAAGTGAAAACATCTATCTTTTTTTAATTGTATTTTTATTGTTTCTAGGTTTTGTCACAAATTAATTTACATTTCAAAAAGGAAAAACAATTTTGCGTTAGAAAAAATAAAAAGAATGGCTTTTTATCCCCCAAAATGCTGAAATCTGCCTAGTTTCTAGTCAGAGTTTCGATCGGTTCATGAAAGAGGGGATGTGATGTTGCCCTTGATATGAAGCGATGGGGCTTGCTGATACAGTCCAGCCCCCTGTGAAACGGGATAGTTAGACAATTGCAAAAGTTTTTCTTTTCCCCCCAAAACTTTTTGAAATGGGAAATGTGTCTAAACTGATCCTTTCCTAGGAACTGTTTATTTCAATGAATCAGTTTTCCTCCCCAACCCCCCCCCCCCAAAAAAACAACTTTTAGTCAAAACTAAATCCCAACCAGCTCTTTAAATTACACCGTAAATATGGATGTGCAAACCTGCTCTCTTCTTTCTCTCTGCTTCCTTGGAGTTTGGTCTCAATCTTGAAATGTCTTCACACACACACACGCACACACACGCACACACACACACACACACACAC